GAGCTCGACATATCATGCTATAAATAAGAGAATTTAACCTACTGCTCGTACTTGTCGTTGTGATTACGGAGGCGCGTACAGATATTACAGACGTTACTGCACCTGTAATGAGGAGTTTAGAAATACCTTATTATAAAACTTATAGGATATTATTTTAAAATTCAAGTATACTTGTCACTACTGCAGGAGTTGTTGTAGTCTGCTGTGCGGGAGGATCCGCGCTGGTCTGCTGTGCAGAAGGATCCGAGCTGCTATAGTTAACACCCTCTGCAAAAAGCTCATTCAAATTTTGAACAGTGTAATATCGCGTCTTACCTGATAATCTGACGGAGGTGCATGACGTCAACATAACTGAAAAAAAGAGCGTGACAAGATAAGTTTCTATAGGTATAGGGAAATAATACCAAGTAACCTTAGCCTTAAAGATTTTATAACCAATGTGTTATCAATTTTCGTAGAATGCTTCTACCGCTATTTCAAGCAGAAACTGTAGTACACAAGTATTTGGAATTTAATAAGTTAGACTGAAATTTCTGTTCAAACAGATAAAAGTATGATAAATTCCATCTACTTTTTAGCTTCCTGTTTTTCCAGTTTTTCGGTAGTTTCCCTTCATAAATGTACTCTCTATGTCATGCCTATAGTGTGACATGATACTATTACATGAACAACGCTCCTATGGCGCGTTTATCGTGGCACCATATCTAGGGCTAAAGTGAGACCAAAAAAATTTGTTGGCTTTAAAAAGACATTGAAATGAAATGAATAGTTTCGGTTCTAGAACATCTCACTTGCTTGTTTTGACTGATGTAAATTTGATGGAAATATAAACAAAAACATCGTTTATTTGGATAAATTTGCACCATTTTTTTCGGACTGCGAATGGAAAGTTTGTTGAAATGCTACATGCCGGTTTTGCCCTACGATTAAGATTCTCTTTGCTCAGCAATTTTCCTTTGTTTGAGAAGAATATTGAAGGATGCCAGGTGGAAAGTGGTAGGAACGTTTTGAAGTTTTAAAATTTTAGAGGAGGAATTTCGCTCGTTAGCGGATTACGAAACTTTTATCTGCTGCTCACGGTAATGTTCTACTGTAAGAGTATGTAGGTGAATGAAAAGAATAAGCTAGACCTTTAGTTGTCCACCTAACAAGAAACAAGCAACCTGTCATAACCCGAGCTTACCCCCTGCTTGGTACGAATATGATTTCGGTGTGCACAGCGTCCAACAACGCCATTAAACATCCAGAAACTCAAAAAATCCCGTAA